AGATTGCCCAGTCTTCCTTCCAAGGAGTGACTGGTGGATTTGAACTGCCAACTTTCTGGTTAGCGGTCAAATGCCTTAGGTACTACACCATCAGAGCTCCCTTCTGGGCAGTAGTGCCATTTATACCAAAATTTAGTGAACTTTAATGACAGTGACTAGGTAAGAAATAGCAGATTTTGATCAACGAATTATCCTTGTACTGATATTTAAAAATGATAATGCTTTAGTGAAATGGAAAAATAGCATGGTAGAAGGTGGTTTTGTTTATTAAAATATAGTTGCCATTACAGAGGAAATTTAAAAATGAGACCATTGGAATAGTTTTCTTTTCCTTATGTTTCTGATGATACTGGACATTGTTACTGTTGACATTTTTAGTTAACAAATTGTGTTCTGTACTTTGGTGCACATATTTGTAGTTACCCAGTGAATTTACAACTCTTTCCCTTGTAGTTCTTCATGTAATAATAATCTCAAATAAAATGAAAAAATCTTCTTATTCTGATAGAGAAGAAAAAGCTGGATCACTTACCAGTAACTGGAGTTCTCCTATTGGGTAATCTCCACAGATCCACATTCTTTGAAGTTATTGTGAATGCCTCGAGGACCAGGGAACGGTTGAAATTTCCAATTTCAGGAAGGTAAGCAAGTGCACTGAAGCATGTCTGTAGCATCTCCCAAATCCCCTTCCCCCCAACTTTCTTACATATACATCTGTACTGCATGCCCCCTCAGTTCCGGTGGATGCCCGTCAGGAAGATTCTGATCCTGGACAGAAGGGCAAGAGAGGTGGATCTGTGAGGGAAAAGACCCAATAGGATAACTCCAGTTACTGGTAAGTAATCCACTTTTCACAAATTTGAGATTTTTTTTTTCCCTCCAATTTCTTTTTGTAAGGAGTTTACTTACAAAGGAAGGAAGTTGTTTGGGATAGCTTCTTTTTTTAAGTTTCATATAGATTATGGAATTTATTGCATAGTTGATAATGATTGAATAATTAATTTTAATGTATCTAGGTTTTAGTGTACTATCATTTTTATAATAACCATTTCTAAAAAATTTATATGTTAATTGAATTTTGGTAAATAGTGTAATGGTTCTAAAGCACTCTTAGAAAGCTTTGTGCTGGAATCTTATAAATTTCTTTGTTTTGTGATGTTCTATTGATGTAAATACTTGTATTGAAAAATTTCTGCGTGTGCCAAATTTAGTCATATTCTTTTGGCGTATTAGTGTTTGAACAGCAATAATAGTTTGATATTAATTGACTAGAACTTCTTAATGACACAGTTTTCCATGTACCTTTTGACAGTATATTTGAAAAATAATTTAAGGTATATTCCAGTTATTCATTATTCAGAATGGATTGGTTTATTGATGTGAAGAATGGCAGAATTGGTTCAATCTGAGCGCTCTGGTTCCTCGGGTACCAGATTATTGAGTTGGCACATAATGTTACAATTAGATTAGAGTTCCTGTCGTCTAGTTTTTCTTCACTTATTCTGCATGGTTACCAGGTTACTTTTGCTAAAGGGGTACTTTTAGCACCTAAAGAACCAATAATGGAGCCCTGGTATAGCTGTATTATAAATTTTTAATCCATTTGCTGGTCAGTTAAGGCCTGTCATAATCCAGGCCCATCCTATTTATTTAGCCTTGATTTCTTCAACTTGAACCTTTTGTTCAAGTTCTTATCTAGGTGTAGTTGTCATATTTTTGCTTTGGCTTGTGCTTTTTTTGTTTTCTTGAAATGTCCTTCTGTACATTCTACTTTTCTATACTTTAAAGTTGGAGTCAAGTCCTCCCACTCCCATAAATCCTCTTATGTTAGCATTTCTGTTATCTCTGGGAAGATTGTTTGTGAGGATAGAGTAAATTAATCCATGACTAGCAATACATAATAAACACTCTTGTTAGCTATTTATATGAATGTAGATTTATTATAAACATTTGTTTCTATAGAAATAAATGCTTGTGTGTATGTGACACAATTTAGTCTTTAAATGTTCTACTGCTATTTTTTATATTTTCTTTGTTGTGATTTGGGTGAAATACTACAAAGCAGATTAGTTTTAGTTCAATAGTTCATACACATTTTGTTTGGTAACACTGATTACAGTCCCCACAATATAACAGCTCTCTTCTTTCTTCTTTTCTGTGGTTTCCCTCTTTCCCTGTGTCCTTCTTGCCTGTGCATTCCTGACTCCCTTGCTTTTTCTTTATCCAAATGCTGCCCTTCTGCTCTCCCATGTTTGATTGTTCTGAGTGCATCTCCCTGGTATAGTTGTTCAGCTTGTAGGCCTGTCTGTCGTTTGGCCGAGAGTTCAGCCATGATAATGTATACTGCTATTTCTTCTGATATAAAACTCTTAAGCTAGGTTGTAAGCTCTTTCAGAGCAGAGATAGATTTATATATATATATATATGTATGTATGTATTTTTATCTGGGAGCTCTGGTAGCATAGTGCCTAAGGCACTTGACTGCTAACCAGAAGGCTGGTGGTTCAAACCCACCAGCTACTCCTCGGAAGGAAGGTCGGGCAATCTACTTCCTTAGTGATACTCCCTCAGAGACCCAAGGAGGGGTCGCTATGAGTCGGGGCTGACTCAACAGCACATAACAACAACCACAGCACATTTTTATCTTACTCAGTTCCTGACATCAGTAACTGAGATTAAATTGTACCTAGTGAAAAAGTAGTTTTTTAGGTAGATTAATAAATACTCCATTGATAAAAGAGGTTCTTTTGGCTTATCAATCCCATTTGTCTTGTGGTTTTTTCTAAAAAATAAAAACAAAAATATTTTTAGCCCCTTTCAAACAAGTATAGTGAAATTATAATTGTTTATTATAATATAAACTATTACAGCACATATAGAGCATCTAATTTTGAGAGGGGAGCTCTGGTAGCATAGTGACTAAGACACTTGCCTGCTAACCAGACGGCTGGCAGTTCATACCCACCAGCCACTCCTCGGAAGGAAGGTTGGGCAATCCTACTTCCATAGTGATACTGCCTCGGAAACCCAAGGAGGAGTCGCTATGAGTCGGGGCCGACTTGAAGGCACATAACAACAACAACAACAATTTTGAGAGAGTCAATTAGTATGGCTTCACTGTAAGCCTGCTGTACAGTATAAGAAAACAACCTGGAAATTTCGTTTACATGACATTGGAGGTTTGAATATCTTAGATCATTGCTTAGTTATCAAAAACCCATGTCTTTAAGAGAACCTGTTCAGTGAGACATTAAATGAAATCTAATCTCAAGGTCATTGAAGGAAGGAAATGTCCTTTTGGCAGGTTGTCAGTTCTCACAATTGCCAAAGAATCAATTCAGGTTCAGTATTTGTACAAGGCAAGATAAAGAACATATAGTTAGATGACTTGAGTAGCAATTTTGAACCTGCTACCATACATCTGGGAGCTCTGGTAGCATAGTGCCTAAGGCACTTGACTGCTAACCAGAGGCTGGCGGTTCAAACCCACCAGCCACTCCTCAGAAGTGTGCGCAATCTACTTCCATAGTGTTACTGCCTTGGAAACCCAAGGAGGGGTCACTATGAATCAGGTCCAACTCGATGGCACATAACAACAACAATAACCGTACATCTACAGAAGAGAATAGGAGCTCTGGTAGCGTAGTGCCTAAAGGACTTGACTGCTAACCAGAAGGCTGGCGGTTCAAACCCACCAGCCACTCCTCGGAAGGAAGATGGGGCAATCTACTTCCGTAGTGATACTGCCTCGGAAACCAAGGAGAGGTCGCTATGAGTTGGGTCCGACTCGACGGCACATAACAACAACAGCAACAGCAAAAGATAAGAGAATATTCAATCTTATAGTTTCTTTGTTGTGATAGTGGCATGGTGGTTATATTGACAATGTTCTTATTCTTGTTGTTGTTGTTGTTGTTGTTGTTTGCCGTCGAGTCGACCCCGACTCATAGCGACCCCTCCTTGGGTTTCCGAGGCAGTATCACTACGGAAGTAGGATTGCCCAACCTTCCTTCCGAGGAGTGGCTGGTGGGTTTGAACCGCCAGCCGTCTGGTTAGCAGGCAAGTGTCTTAGCCACTATGCTACCAGAGCTCCCGTTCTTATTCTTAGGAGCTACTTACTGAATGTTATACTTTCAACTATTCTCTTGCTTTGAAATTTTTTTTCAAGTTGGAATAAAGTCTTTTTAAAAAATACTTTATTGTGCTTCAGTTTCTGTAATTCTAAAATGGGAATGATTGAACTTGTTCTTTTCATGCCTCGATGCAGACACACACAGTTGGGATAACATTTGGCAATGTAGCAGTTAAGAGAACTCCCAAGAAGTGGTATTTTTTTTTTAAATGAACATTAAAGAAAAGCTTATAATGGAGAACTTTTCTAGAGAACATTTTACTTAAAGGGGTTTTAATTTAATATATATATAACCCAAGAAAACCAAACCCAACTGTCATTGAGTCAATTCTGACTCCTGCCGACCCTTTATTTTACTAAGATGATTAAGCTGATGAAGTGAAACCTGAGCGGACCCAAATTTGTAAAATGTGGCTGTACTGGGAAGATAACCAGAATGGGAAAAGTTGCAGGTTCATACCCTGCTAGAAACTTAATCTCCATTTTAGAAAACAAGGGCAATATGTGTGTGTATGGCAACCAAATCTCTTGACAAGCGGAGTCGAAGACATTGCTGTCCTGCTCAGAGATGACAGTGGACTGAGCTACTTTGAGTGTATGCTGCTCTCTAAAGCCCTGCAATAATCCAGTCTCCCACATCAGGCTCTGCCTGAAAGGGCTCACCATGCCTCTTCTGAGTTTCCTGTTCCAGGGCTTTGATCCCTAAGTTTTTCTATTCCGGTTATTGTTTTGGTACGCATTTTACAAGTTCAGATCTGTTCTAATTTTTCTGTGTCTGTCATGACTGAATCAATTCAGAGCCCTGAGAAAAACAGAGATGACACCAATAAGATTGAAAAAGGGGACATAACTAAAAATAGTGATCTTTAAAATCACAAGAGATTATAATTAATTTGTATGTAATGATAGATGAAATGCTCCATTTTCTAGGAAAAAATATTCCAAAAATTGACTGTAAAAGAAAAAATCCAAAGATACCAAAACCATTAAAGAGATGGAAGTTGTTGTAAATCCCCTCTCAAAGGAATAGTTTTTCTTTTTAAAGCATTTTTATTGAGATATAATTCACATATGCAATTTAGTTGTATTTGGTATATTCACAGAACTGTGCAACTGTCATCACAGTCAACTTTAGAACATTTTCATCATCCCAGAAAGAAACTCTGTAGCTATTAGCATTCATTCCTAATCCCTCTAATCCTAGGCAACCATGAATCTACTTGTTTCTATAGATTTGCCTGTTTTGGACACTTCATATAAATCAAGTTACACAATATGTATAATTGCTTTGGACATGTTACCGGAAGGAAACAGTCCCTGGAGAAGGACATAATGCTTAGTAAAGTAGAGGATCAGTGAAAAAGAGGAAGTCCCTTAATGAGATGGATTGACACAGTAGCTGCAGCAGTGGGCTCCATCATGGCAACAGATGTGAACATACAGGACCTAGCAGTGTTTTGTTCTGTTGTACATAGGGTCACTATGAGTCAGAGCTAATAACAGCAACAT